TAGAATATTTTTTATTATTTTCTACTCATTATTTTACTTAAGTGCTTGCATATCATTTCTTATTTTTATTATTTCTGTAATTTTTCCTGATTCTTCTTTGTGGTTTTTTTGTAATTTTTCACTGTGAGATATAACTTAGTGAATGCTTTTGCTTCCATGTCAGGTTGGTGTACCAATGCCCAGAAGTCAAATATAGTCTGCCACCTAATTGTTTAAAGAATTTTTTATTTAAATACAGCTGTTCTCACCTGTACGTTGTATATGGTTTCTTTTGCACTATAATTGCAGAAAGGAGTAACTGACAGAGACTAGACAGCTTGCAGCACCATAATACTTACTACTATCTAGTTGTTTACAGTAAAAAACAAAAACAAAACCTACTCACTGTTTTGCAGTATATTTATGTGACTTAGGTTGTTCAGATATCTAAAGGGGGCCACACGCATCTGTTTTTGTAAGTCTGTAATATTTTCTTCTTGAAGGGTAGATTTTATATTAGTGTTTGATTTTGGAATTTCTCTTTTCTATGGACAATGTGAATTTCAATCCATCACATAATACCTAGCAGAGGCTTTAAGTTACTACATGTGATTTTTCCCTTTCATACACATAATACTGTGGGATTTTGGTTGTTTTCTCTTTGGGCTTATGATGTGTGTTAGTGCCTTTTTCACACACAGTTGTTACAGTTGATGGATTCACTTTATGAACATGGTTCAATTTAACTCCTTTTCTTAAGGATGCCAGCAATTTTATCTCATAGCTTTCCTACCTTGTGAAATCTTTGCTTGCCAGAGCTTGCTTGTTTATTCCAGACCTTTTTTGTTTTGAATCTCTGCTTCATGTTGGCACCTGATAATTCTCACTTCCTTTAAAGTAGGCTATGTATTGAAAGTGTTTTGGACAGTTTTCCCTTTGATTCTGATGTATGTATTTTTGAAATTTATAGAGATTATCAAAAGTTATTTTTAAATTTTGCACATCTGCTTATGTCTTTCTGTTTATTTTATGTTTGTATAGCCATCATTGAGAAGTCATCTGGGCTGGTCTTAAAATGTAAATAAAATAGATAGCTTTTTAAAATTTTTATTCATGCTCTTTCGTTAGGCTATAATAACAGCATATTCTGGAAAAATTATTAGAAGTAAACTTACATTGACTATCAGTGAACATTCTTATTGGAAAGAGTAATAAAACATAATCATAGTCAATCTTGTCCTCATCCATGTTTGATATAATTGTTAAATGTGGGTACAACTTTTTATAACATTCTTTTTCCTTTGCCACTGATACTAAACTAGTTGTAGGCTATGAGAATGATTAGTTTTTTTGACTGTAAATTTTTCTTACAGTTAAATCTAAATTATAGCAGCTTTCTGCTTGATATATCCAATTCATTGGATGTCCTCAGATCTCAGTTTCAAATAGTTATATGGACATATAAACCAGTGATGTACTTCTTTTTTATTTACTTTAAAAAGCAAAACAGAAAAAAAGATAGAAATGATAGTGAATTTTTACAAAAAGTATATTAACACTAGTTAGTATGTTGCATATTGTTATCTTAGAAGTTGTTCAGGTTACAATATCTAGGCACAAAAAAAGGTGAAACAATCAAATAATGACAGCAGAAGCTGTTCTTTTTCAGGAACTTACAGAGATTAGTAGTATAGGTATCTTGCTTACATACATTTGTGTATTTATACCTATATACATATGTAATATTTTCCTTTCTTCATTTTCTCCTTTCTCCTATCCCAGTTCTTTCCTTTTGAATACTTTCTTTCCCTTTCATTATTACAATATCTATTGTGCATTTAGGATCTTATCATTCTTTCAGTTTTTAATCTTTATTATTTTTCTTTGTACTAGGGAGACGGTACAATATTTATAAATGTGAGTTTGATTTATTTCACTTACAAGTATGGTCTCAAGTTGATTCCATTTACCTATAAATTTACCTCAAAATAATGTTTTTTTATAGTTGAGTAATATTTCATTGTATAAAGTTACCACATCTTTTTTATCCATTGTACAGTTGTTGGGCATTTGGATTGTTTTCAAGATTTAGCTATTACAGATTGTGCTGCTCTAAACATGGGTGCACATATATCACTGTAGCATGACATTTTCAATTTTTCTGGGAAAATACCCAGAAGGGGAATAGCTGGATTGAGACTTTCAATCCTAATTTTTTGAGAAATCCATACTGTTTTCCACAATGGTTGAACTAGTCTACACTCCCACCAACAGTGGAGAAGTATTCTTTTCCCCCCACAGCCCTGCCAATATTTGTTCATTTCTTGATGGCAGCCGTTCTTTCTAGAGTGAGATGGAATCTCAGTGTTGTTTCAATTTGCTTTTCTCAAATTACCAGTGATGCAGAACATATCTTTATGTTTTTACGTGCCATTTGTATTTCTTCATCTGAGAAGTGTGTGTTCATCTCTGATGCCCACTTTTGGATTGGGTCTTTGAATTTGGGAAGCCTGATGTTTTTCAGTTCTTTATATGTTCTAAATATAAGTCCTTTATTGGAGGGACAGCTGGCTAAAATTCTTTCCCATTCTTACAATTTTCTTCTCACTGTGTTGGTGATTTCTTTCGAAGTACAAAAACTTTTAAATAAGAGATTCCATTTGTTGATTCTTTGAGGTTCAGAATGTGGTTTGTGTTTTTTTTTTTCATCAACTCTGCTTACTCCTGTATCTTCAATATTTCTATCTACTTTGTCTTCTAGTGATATACTTCTTAACTGCTCTGTGGCTATGCTTGTCTTCAAAATCTGACTCATTTAGGAAAGAAAACTTGAGTGATATTATGCCAGAGGTCTTCTTTTATATTTCAGAGACAGTATAGATTACTATTGTCTAATTTTTTGTGTAGCTATACTATACCTATGATTTTGTTATCCTTAGATAATCTCCTTATTTCAGAGTTAATCTATGAGAAGGATTTTAGTTGTGAGAGTTCAATTCAACTCTCTTATTCAAAATTTAATATACTCTCTACCAATGATTCCTTCACATGGCCAGAAATTTCATGAAATACTATATATAGAGAAATCTTAGTTTGTATCTTATACACAAACTGTGTCTTATACACAAACTGTTATAAAGTATTATAAAATAATACTTTGTATGTACTGTATACTCAAATATGTTTTTTGCTTTTACCTGAATGAATTAATTAATGGTACTGCTTAATAAATTTTCTGTGAAATAGTATCTTAACCTGTTAAGCATAATACTTAAAGACTAAGAATTTTAACAACAGCATTATTTCTTATAAAAGTAATACGAATTTGCTATTGAAATGTGATCTTAGTGAATGAAATGTGAGCATTAACCTTTTGAGAGGCATATTTGTTTCAAAAAGTAGTTGTTTTACTTAACTTATCATAAACATATCCCCTATAAATAAATTGTCTTTTAGTTGTATTATGATATAGTTTAATAACTATATCATTTTCTCATATTCATAAAGATGAAAATTACCTTAACATATTTATATAAATATTTCATGTCATTTCAGTAACTATATTTAGACAGAATTGTGTTTCTGAATATTTCTGTAAAATATAGTTATTTGGTTTTAATCTTTCTTTGTGTGTGTTTATTTACTCTTTGAAGCTAATTTATGTTGCTGACCCTATGGCATATCTATCTCATTTTCAAATCTATTGCATACAAGTGACAATTTTATATGATATTTAGTGCCTTATTTTCTTGGTCAGATTTCCTGATTATATATTTAATTCTATCACTGATTAGCTGTGGACTTTGGGTAGTTATTTAACCTAAAGTGCTTCATCTTACAAATGATAGTAAAAATAGTAGCTTCTCCACAACACTGATTTTGGTATCAGATAACTCATTTTACTTTTTGCTACTCTATCTGAGCATGTATTTATGCTCTGTAAAAATTGATGCAAAATGTACACTGACCAGTGAGAATAGATGCAGTCATAAACTGATATTGGTGGAATACTCGCTTTCCTGGACAGAGTGAGAGAGAGCTCAATGAAATGCTAGCTGCTGCCTTAGTTGTAATAATTATGATGCTTATATGGGTGATAAGGGTGATGACATCTGTCTGCACAAGCAGTTACTGAACGGCTCAGTGTTTCACAGAGTCATTATACTTTACATAGACATGAACTTTATATTTGTTTTGAAATGTTTGATTCTGCTATAATATGAATATCAAAATACATTGAATGTGATTCATGAAGACATGAAAAAGAACATATTTTAAATTTGATTCTATTTATTTCAAATTAAAATGCATTTCAGTTAAACTTCAAAATTTTCTTGTCTAAACAAGATATAGTACATGTGCAAAGTAATTTGAAAGTTCTATTTTTATTCATTTTACTATTTATTTATGTATTTATTTATTTATTCATAGTAGTACTGAGGATCAAACCCAAGACCTTTGCACTGAGCTACATTTCCGGTTCTTATTATTTTATAGTCTGAGACTTAAACTAAGTCTTTAAGTTATACAGGTAAAGTTTGAACTTGCAGTGCTCCTGGGATTACAGGCATGCACCACTATACCTAGTTAAGTTATCTTCTTGAAGTAAAGATTTTTGTCACATAATTTTTTATATTTATTAATTTTTTGTTATGTTCAAATATATTTTGACTCATAATTCTTTATCAAAACTATATAATTGTTTTATATGTAACTTAATAGCCATACCAGCCATATGAATCTTTAAGAAATGTTTTCCTGGTTAGTTGTAATTTTTTATGTTTCATGTTATCTCTCTTTCTTGCTGTTATAGAGATTAAGATAAAATTTTGGCATGCAATTTATTGATTTATTGCCTTACATTAGTAGTTTGAGATACATGAATTAGGCATTAAATAAACTTGAGAAATGCTCTTTGGACTTTGCTAGGATCCAGATTTTTATAATAAGTTATATCTTGTTAGCTATTATTGATTGCTGTTGTTATGTAGATATTTGTAATGATTTTTGCTCTTTTCTAGCTTGCCAGTGTAATGGACATAGCACTTGCATCAATAATAATGTGTGCGAACAGTGTAAAAACCTAACTACAGGGAAACAGTGTCAAGACTGCATGCCAGGTTATTATGGAGATCCAACCAATGGAGGACAGTGTACAGGTATTTCTCTTTTGCTTCAATGTATTAAAGATATTAAATGGAAATATCTTGAAATGTTGAAAATATATTGAAAGAAAATTCACAAAGAGGTAACTTTTGTGAATAATATATATATATATATATATATATATATATATATATATTGCTAAAGAAAAATGTTTCCTTTCAATTTCAGTATTTTTGGAAAGTAATATAAATTTGTTAGAGAACATGTGAAGCATAAAACTTCTGTGATATATCTGCTTTAAAATATGATTTTTTCAATTAATGCATACATATATATTACAGGAAATTCATCAAAGGCACTCAAATAGAATTACTTGTAATCTCACTGTTGAAAAATTATCACTGCTGATAGTTCACTTTGCAACAAGTAGGTCCTTGTATTGATTTCTGAAATGGACATGATTAAAGATTGTACGTATATCTCTCACACAATGTAATGTGTAGTTTTGTACAGTGCAGCAGTATATCACGGTGTTTAAGAAAATGGGTTTTAAATTAATACTGGGCTAACATTTCAAATGTTCACTGTTTCAGTGCATGACCTTTAGTAACTAACATTTTCCTCATGTGTACAGGATATATGATAGTATCTCACTGAGTTGTTTTAAAGATCAAATGAGAGTATCTGTAATATTGCCTTAGAAGTTGGTGTACATGAAAAGGGCATTATAAATACTAGTGTATAAATATTAGTGTCACACTTTTATTCATTAAGATCCACTTTCATCTGTCTTCCTCTCTACTTTACTGGTTCTTTCTTTCTTTCTTTCTTTCTTTCTTTCTCATCTTTCTTTCTTTCTCTTTTTCTCTTTCTTTTTCTTTCTCTCTTTCTCCTTCCTTTCTTCCTTCCTTTCTCTCTTTTCTCTTTCTTTCTTTCTTTCTTTCTTTCTTTCTTTCTTTCTTTCTTTCTTTCTTTCTTTCTTTCTTTTTGTATCAGGAAATAAACTCACGACCTCACACTGCACTTATGCCACTAGCTAAACCCCTGGCAGTTCTTCTCTTCTCGAAGAATATTTTATCTTCTCAATTTTCTTTTAAAGTAAAATTTTATCATAATCCTTTTTTAATCTCTAAATTTGACCCTGCCATATCAATTTGTATTGTCTTCTTTCTTTAAATGGGGATTTCAGGGGCAGGGGATATAGTTCAGTAGCCCAAGTGCCTGCCTGGCAAGTGCAAGGACATGAGTACAAAAAAATGTCGGGGGATTGCTTATATAGGATTTCATGAAGAACTCCAGCTGTTGACTATGGAAAGAGATCTTTCAGAGGGAGTAGACTGGGTCTGATCTCCATAAATTTTTAACACTAACTTGTAAAAATACGGATGTCTGGGCTATTTCCTAAAACCATTAAATCAGTATTTGATCTGAGATTATAAGGTCAATTTTGGACACTTGTTCTTTTTAGGTTTTCTGAGTGACTGTAATACTCAGGCTTGACACACAAGGTAACAACAAACTGATTCAGTCTTTGAGTCAAATTTGCTCAGGCAAACAGGTGATAGAAAGGTTATGATATGCAATGATGTGACCCAATTGAAGTCCAATGTAAATAAATTGGCTGCCATTTAGCATTTTCTATGTTTTAGGCACTGTACTTTATATTCATTACTTCATATTAACTTTTTTATTTAAAAAAAATTAAAATAAAAGATAAAAAGAGGTCAGAACAAAACAATTTAAGCAATATATTGTTTCATCACAAGACAACCTGACATAACAGTAGCTACCATACTGTCTCTTTCCTTGAAATATTTGAGTATACCTTCATACACTATAGTATCAAACATAGCAAGACAGTGTAAAACCATTCAGGAAAATGAAAGTGCTATAGGGTTTTCAGATCCAACTAACAGAAAAGAAACAATGGTTACTATATTATCTCCTTGTCATAAAAAATTTTGTTTATACTATCACATATAATAAAATCCAATAAGATACGACATGATAAAACTGATGGAGACAGAAGAACAAAACTTTACTCCACTTGGTGGAACTTCAAAACAAGATGTTATTAAATCAGCACTAGGTATTATAATGTCTTGTTTTCTTCAAAACAGCTGTTCATACCATCACAGATAATAAAATCAAACAACCCAGAATAAAACCATTCTAACTAATGAATGAAAACATTATAAGACTTCAAAGCAATATAATGGGGAATCATGATTACCACATATTTTTATATATTCTTACTATTTCTTACACTAGGGAAACTATTCAGTAATTATACATGTGAGTTTGATATATATTTCACTTATGAGTATGGTCTAAGGCTGTGTCCATTTATTTATAAATATCTCAATGTGATCATTCTTTATAGCTGAGTAGTACTCCATTGTATAAAAATACCATATCTTTTTTATCCGTTCCTCAGTTGATGGACACTTAGGTTGTTTCCAAAATCTGGCTATTACAAATTGTGCTGCTATAAACATGGGTGCACATATATCACTGTGGTATGATGTTTTCAGTTCTTCTGGGAATATGCCTAGAAGTGGAATAGCTGGGTCAAATGAGACTTCCAATCTCAGCTTTTTGAGAAATCTCCAGACTGAGATTTCCACAGTGGTTGCACCAGTCTACCTCCCACCAATAGTGCAGAAGAGTTCCTTTTCCCCCACAGCCTCTTCAGCATTTGTTGTTGGTAGTTTTCTTGATCCTGGCCATTCTTTCAGGAGTGAGATGGAATCTCAGTGTGGTTTTAAATTGCATTTCTCTAATGAGTAATGATGATGAACATTTTTTCATGTATTTTTTTACCATTTCTTCATCTGAGAATTGTGTATTCATCTCAGATGCCCATTTTTAGATTGGATCTTTGAATTTTGGGGATCTGATTTTTTAAAATTCTTTATCTCAGAAAATGGAAGGACATCCCTTGCTCATGGATAGGAAGAATAAATATTGTGAAAATGGCCATTCTCCCAAAAATATTATACAGATTCAATGCAACCCCAATAAAAATACCATCAACATACCTCATAGATCTAGAGAAATCACTCCTCAAATTCATCAGAAGAGACCTAGAATAGCAAAGACAGTTCTAAGCAGCAAAGGCAAGGCAGGAGGCATCACAATCCCTGACTTGAAGTTATACTAGAAAGCAACTGTGGTAAAATCAATGTGGTACTAGAATAAAAATAGAGCCAAAGATTAATGGAATAGATTAGAAGATACAAACACAATTACAAGTGCACTCAACCACTTTATCTTTGATAAAGGGGCCAAACAGGTTCACTGGAAGAATGACAGTCTCTTTAATAAATGGTGTTGGAAAAACTGGCTCTCCATAGGCCAAAAACTAAAACTAGACCCATGCCTATCACCATGTACTAAATTAAAATCTAAATGGATCAAAGATCTGCATTTTAAAACAGAAACACTAAATCTTTTGGGAGTCAAATTGGGTAAAAACCTTGAAGACATAGGGGTAGATAGAGAATTCATGAACAGGAATCAAACCGCATGGGAAATATTTCCCAGAATTAATAACTGGGATCACATCTTATTAAAAAGTTTCTGCGCATCAAAAGAAGTCTCCATAGTGAAAAGTAAACCCACACACTGGGAAAAAATCTTAGTGAACTGTCCCTCAGACAAAGTACTTCTGTCTAAACCATATAAAGAACTTCATATTAACTTACAACTCTATGGCAGATGTTACTTTTATCCCAGTTTTATGTGTGGAAACAAGTGCATAAAGAAATTAAGTGAAACACCTAAGATCATATGGCTAGTAAGGAAAAAAATGTTTAATTTACTCATTGAATGCCACATCCCATGCAGCCTGTGAGGTCCTGAAAGGTAGTGCTGGGAGATTAGTAAAAGAGAGGAGACACAATAAAACAGAAGCTGGGGCTGGGTGGGATGTGACCTCTCGGCTCAAGAGGCAGAAACAACCCAGAATGGTCTGCATCATTGTACACAGTAAAAAGGAGGGAAGCACACGATGGTCGAAAATGCAAGGTCTCAGTATTTTGCTTAGAACATTGACAGTGAAACATTCTTAGGGCTCACTGTGCTAGAATTAACAGAGAGGAAAACCAAGGCCAGACATCTGCTGATATGCAGCTGAGCTAGAGGTCAGCTTGTTTACACGCTCTGCCTTTGGCTTTCCATGTTCCTAAGGCTGGCTTTGCTCTAGTTCCAAGGAATTTACCAATCTCTGGCTCGGCTGCAGTTCAGTTGCTCCCTGCAATTGACTCTTCACTCACCGTAGAATTTTCATCAATATGGATAGGATTGATCCAGTAGATAATATCTAGAAGTTGAGTATGTGTCCAGTAATTATACAAGGCACAATCATTGTAGGTACACTAGAATTCACAAAATTTAGAACCCACCTACTAGAGGCATAGTGTTTTGTTATTTCATGCTTATTTAATAAAATGATGAAAGGTTTTATAACAATTTTTTTAAACCACTGAGCCAAGAATTTCACTGGAAGAAAAGTGTATTTTAGACTGATAATTTTTATATTTTAATATATAATTTATGCAATTTAAGAAAATATAGGGCCTGGGATTTAGCTCAGTGGCATAAGTGCCTGCCTGGCAAGCATGAGGTGGTGAGTTCGATCCCTGGTATCGGAACTCTGAGATGTCTTATATCTCTCAACTATCCTTCATTTAATGTATAATTGTGTATGTTTCCTGATATCTGCAGGAAAATGATTCCATGTACACTTTTTAACTTATTGTATAAATCGATTATATATGAGTCAATCAGGTTTTTGTTCCATAATTTACTTAGTATATTTCTGTTTATATTCATAACAGTGCTTCTATCCATAGTCCCAATTCTAGACCATTGCATTTTTAATTCAAGATGAAATTCAATAACAAATTTAGCTTTTTCAAGTATACAACCCAGTTGCATTTAGTACATTTAAAATGACCATCATTTTTATCTTCTTTATAACTATTTTAACCATAGCAAAGAGAACCATATATTAATTAAGCAGTCAACCCAGGTCATGGGAATTATTAAT